GCGACTTCCCGGGTCCTCACCGCCCCCCTCGGACGCGCACAAGGCTTCCGAGTTTGCGCGCCATGGGGTCCTGCCGGGGCGGCTCGCTTGGACAAGTGGCGCCCCGCGCCCTCCCCAAGCCTCAGTTTTCTCTTCTGTGAAATGGGGGGGGGGAGATGGTGGTGGCGACTGCGCGCCCCAGGAGAGGAGGTGGAAGACCCAATCAAGGTTATCGATATTTTGCAGAAGAGGAAACAGGTTCACAAAGATGATGTCACTTCCCCCCCAAGTCGCAGGTGGGTGGTAGACAATCCTACTTCTTTCCATCCGTCCTAGGGGAGAGGGGAGGGGCATCGTCCCCGCCTTCGGGGAGACGTGGGTTTCTCTTGGATGAAACCACCCGGTTCTCCCCCGCACAAGACAGAAAACAACTCAAATCTCACCACGATCGAGTCCGTTCTGACTCACAATGAGTCGATCGGGCCGGGCAGATCCGCCCCCAAGGCTGGTACTTTTGACGCCAGCAGAAAGCCTCATCCCGCGGAGTGGTCAGTGGGTTCGAACTGATAACCTAGCAGCTCAATGCACAGCCCACTAGCCCACCAGGGTTCGGAACCACGGAACCCCAGCATCCTCTGTGATCCCCCAGCGGCACCGGATAGGCAATGTCTTCATCTTCCCATCTAGACCTGGCCGGTGCCATGGTCTCTCCATCTCAGGAAGCCGACACGGGAGATTAAGGGAATGGCAATGAGGGAGCTCTGCACAAACCACTGAAAGCGCAGAGGTGGGACCTGGGCAATCAGAAAGGCTTCCCAGAAGAGGTGACATGAGCTGGGTTTTAAAGGATGAGCAGGTGTTCTGAAATTGAAGGCTAAACCATCCAATCAAAGAGAAGTCCACATACACGATGACCCTGGGGTTAAAAAGAGCCCTGTAGGGTCTCCCCCAACCTAAGCAGGGGGCATTGGGCAGGGTGGAGAAGTCTGGGAGAGGGGGCCTGCTGCTGCACTGTGAAGACCACTGACAGCTGGAGTTGGATTCTCCCCTCCAAGACTCACTTCCTCCAGGGAGACCCCCTCCACTTCCCCAGGTTGTGTTGTATTGCCCCTCACCTCTGGGCTCCCAGTTTCTGCACCCACAACCACAGTGCTCTGCATTGTCCAGAGCCCCACCCTCTTTCTGGATTGCCTGGCTATGCAATCCCTGCTTCCCCTCCTCAGCCTCCTCCTGGCCTACAGGGCTGACCAATCCACCCCAGCTACCCGAGACCCCGTGTGTCAGTGGGACTCTGCTCCCGAAGGTCCCCAAAGCCGGTCATTCAGAAGTGCATTGCCAGGCGCAACTTCCAAGGGACCTCTGGAGGGATTTGAACCGCCAAGCTTTGGGTTCAGCCGAATGCCTTCGCTATTTGCACCACCAGGGACCACCTGTGGAGCACTGTGAGGCCACCTCCTGATACCGTCTCCGGCAGAGGGTTTCTGAGGCTATAACATCTCCCTCGCCAACCTCTTGTTAGCAGCCCAATACAACTCACTGTGCCACCAAGGGCTCACCCCTCTCTTAAGTCCTCAGGGACACCGTCCACCAAGCTTGTAGGGATACCCCCTAAACACGCCCCGCCCTGGATGCCACCCCCTTGGACCCTTGAGCCATGAGCTGAGGGCTTTTTTTCCCCAAAAGGTGGTCCTGGGAGGTGGTGGTGGGCATTCTGGCCTCAGCTTGCCCCACTTTTCTCACCAATCCCCCTTTGTTGAGCCCCAGTGAACCCTTGCGGACTGTCTCAAAATAACACACACCCCATAAGCCTTTCCTGTGCCCCCTCAGCCTCTCTCTTATGAGGAAGCTGGCTCATTTTCCCTCCTTACCCCTTTGGGTTTTTTCTCTCTTGGTCTGCTCCATTTCTGGGAAGGGCAGTCTCACTGCGTCTGAAGGCCAGGCCAGCAATGGCCTCACTTTCACCTGCCTGCCTTCTCCACGAAGGCCCGCCCCACCCTGTCAGTTACCCCTCTGTTTGTCTCTGTCCCCTGTCATTTCTGCCTTGAGACCAGCCCCTCTCTTTCTCACCCTCCCCCCCAGTCCATTTCCTCACCACCCCTTCAGTGCCTCAACCCAGTCCCTCCCACAGCTTTAAGGGCTCTGATCCCATCCAGGTTACCAATCACCTTCTACCTGCCAAGTCCCCTTTTGGATCACATTTGACACCACCGCCACCCGCTCTGTCTGGACCACACAGCACACTTCGGGTTGGCAAACACTAAAAAGTCACCTGACATCCAGTGTTGGCGAGGCCATCTGGAGCGACTGGGACCAGCTGTTCTCAAACTGTGGGTCTCGACCCCTTTGGGGGGGGTCGAAGGACCCTTTCACAGGGGTCACCTAAGACCATCAGAAAACACAGATTTCCCATGGTCTTATGAACCCAGACACCTCTCCTCTATCCGTCTCCAGGCGGGTCCGCCCACATGCAGATACGCCCACCGATGAATACCTGGCCTGAAGACTGTTACCCATGCTACACCATGCTTCAAGACAAAATTTCATTAATGTATTAGAAATATTTCGCAATACATAATTGCATACTGTTTTGGTGATGAATCACTATGCTTTAATGTTCAATGTGTAACAATGAAAATGCATCCTGCCTATCGGACATTTACATGAGGATTCATCACAGTAGCAAAATGACAGTGATGAAGTAGCAATGAAAATAATGTTATGGTTGGGGGTCCCCACCACATGAGGAGCTGCATGAAAGGGCCGTGGCACTAGGAAGGTTGAGAACCACCGCATTACACAGTGCTGTGGGGAGAGAACAGATTTGTGTGGGAGAGCAATTTGACAAAGGAGTACATTCAAACATGTACATATTGGGCCATCCGCTCTCTGTGAGAGACAAAATAATGCCCCCCTAAAGAGGTCCGTGTCCTTAGCCTTAGGTGGCCAAAGAAACGTTGCAAACGGGATTAAATGAAGGATCTCGAGATGGGGACAAGATGCTGATCGACTTAACCAGAGGCTTTAAATAAAAAATAAAAATCATATCGAGGGCTCTTACGGCTCTTGTAACAATCCATACATCAATTGTATCAAGCACATTTGTACATATGTTGTCTTCATTATTTTGTAGACAGTTTCTATTGAGCCCTTGGTGTCAGCTCCTCTTCCCCCACTCACTGCTCCCCAATAAGGCTCTTTTTATAGTGGGAAACTGGAGGGTCAAAGTCAAGGAATCTGACAAGAGAGAGAGATCAGGGGACAGCAAACGTTTGAGATGGAAGAGCCAATCCTGTCCCCGCAATTTAAAAATTATTCGAGAGTCATAAATGTATTTCCACACACAAATGAAACCACTATTTTGTGAACAACATCCTTTAATTTTTTTCAATTTTACTTCAGAGCCACATGGACGAACCAAAAGAGCCCTCTGTGGCTTGCGAGCTGCAGTTTGCCTGGCCGTCCTGTGCTCTGGAGAGAGCTATGTCCACGTGGGAGAGAGATCTCGAGAGGGAGGAGGGCGTCTCATTAGGCTGATAGGAAGATATGGGTAGCTCGGGTGGAGAGCAAGCCTGGAGCCATTATTTATCCGAGTCGCGCATGCTTACGTAGCGTCTATTGATTTCACCCCATGGAGACACGATTTGGACTTCTGACGTCGGGGACCATGAGGTAAGAGATTTGTGATGTTTGGGGCTCTGGTTGTGCTGTGGTTTGCCGTAGCAGCACTAGAAACGAACACTCAGGGATTCTCAAATTCAGACACAGGCATTCTCTTGGACAAGAACAGCAGCAAACCCACAGAACCGGAAGCAACCCAACTGTGCCAGCAATGGGAAAGATAACAGGCGTATCTCCATACAGCGGAATCTTATTCGGCAACAACAGCCGCCCAACCACAGAGACCCTGGCGAATTTGCAAGTAACACACAAACAACTGCCCAACGACAACCCATAGCAAACCCCTAGGACAGGGTAGAACGGCCCTTGCGAGTTTCCGAGACTGTAACTCTTTACGGGAATAGAAAGCTTCATCTTTTTCCCAAGGGGCGGCTTGTGGTTTTGAACTGCTGACCTTGCAGTTAGCAGCCAACTCCTAACGACTACGCCACCAGGACTCCTTACAGCATTGCCAAAATGGAACTGAAAGGGAATGGACTTTTTCCCTCAAACATTCTTGTACTTCATATCGTTTGGAGATGTTGTAGAGCTTCTCATTTTATTTCTTTTCATGGCCACATAATAGTCCATTGAATGGATATACCACGGTTTGCTTATTCATTCATCACGTTCATCGTGGTGAGGTTGTTTTCTCTTTGGGGCTATTATGAATAAGGCTGCTATGAAAATGGGGGTACTCATTTCGGATAAACACGGGCGTCTTATTTATTCTTTTTATTGGCACAGAATTCACATATCACACAATTCAATGACTTAGTTATATCAAAAGGAGTTGGGCAGTTCTCACCTTAATCAATTTTGGAATCTTCATTCTTGTCCTCACTGTTATTAGCTCCCTATTTTCCCCCCAAGCTCCCCTGCAATAACCCTGAGGAACTATAAATCCAGTTACAAGCTCTATAGACTTACCTATAAAAACAGAGGCTTTCATTTCTCGTGGGGGGATACCTACAGGTGCAATCGCTAAGTCGTAGGGGAACATTCAGAATTTCCGCCGACCCAGTGGCTAAGTGTTCAGCTGCTGACCCAAAGATCTGTGGCGGTTGTCAGGTGCAGTGGACTCATGGTGACCTTATGTACAACAGAACACAACACTGCCTGGTCCCGCGCCACCCTCCCCATGCAATTGTCCCGAGGTTTGAGCTCATTGTCCCAGCCACTGTGTCCATCCATCATGGCAGGAGCCTGCCTCTTTTTTACTAACCCTCTACTTTAGCAAACGTGATGCCCTTCTGCAGGGACTGGTCTCTCCTGACAACATGTCCAAGGTGCACAATGAGTGCCCTGCGAGTTCTAGGGGTCAGTGCTATTCTGTCCTACAGGGTTGTTGTGAGCCAGAATGGACTCAACTCAAGCCAGCAATGACTTTGATGTAGGTTAACTTTATGTTTAACTTTTCTTTTTATGTTTAACCTTCTGACTAACTCCCAGACTGTTTCCCAAAGCCTCTGCACCATGTTACCTTCCCACCAGTGATGTTTCAAGGCCCCCGTTTTCTTGCCAACATCTGCTGTGATCTGTCTTATGGGTTTGTATTGGGCAAACCTGCAGCCTGCGCCCTCTCTAAAGTGTAGAAGAGCCAGGATGTCACTTTGAGGACTAAGGTGTGCCTGACTCCAAGCGTGTGGTATGTTCCATCGCCTCCTATGCAGGTGAAAGTTGGACACTGGATAAAGAAGGCCAAAGAAGAATGGATGCATTCGAATTCAAGTGTTGGAGAAGAATATTGAAAGTGTGTAGACTGGCTTCTGTCTTGGAAGAAGTACAGCCTTCTGGAAGCCTCCTTAGAAGTGAGGACGGCAAGACTTGGTCTCACACACTTTGAACATGTTGTCAGGGGAGACTAAGTCCCTGGAGAATGACATCATGCTTGGTGAATTAGTAGGCTGGCAAGAAAGAGGAAGCCCTTCAATGAAGTGGATTGAGACAGTGGCTGCAACAAGGGGCTCAAACGTAACGATGATCATGAGGTGGCTTGGGACTGTACAGGGTCGGACACGGGACAGATAAGATTCAGGACCAATTGGATGGCACCTGACCAGAACACAATTTCTTATTATAATCATTTAGTGGGTGTGAAGTGGTAGCTCATCGTAGGTTGTGTGTGTGTGTGGTAAAATGTACATAAAGCTGTCATTTTAAGCCTTCTTATGATTTTTAGTTGCATTTTTCTGATGGCTAATGAATTTGGGCATCTTCTCTTCAGCTTGTTGACCATTTGTATGCCTTTAGAGAAATGTTTATTCAGATTCTGTTACTTTATTTTTGTCCCATCGAGTTATTTGCCTTTTATTGTTGAGTTGTAAAAGTATTTTTAAATATATTCTGGAAACTAGTTTATCAGATTTATGATATATATATTTTTTTCCATTTGATGGGTTATATTTTTTGTACTTTCTTGATGGTATCCTTTGAAGCTAAATGATTTTAATTTAATTTAATTTTAACCAAAGAATTCACATATTTTTATTAGATGTCAACCTCTAAGGGTGGAAGCCAAGGAAGAAATCAGATGTTTGTCAATAGGGATCTGATCAATCGATCAGATGGTGGTGAGTCTTGAACTCAGCATAACAGAATCTAGTACACCCAGGTACATGCTGTGTGCCACCACACAGAGGCCTTCTATCACACCCAGCCTGGTCCTTCTCCAATGTCTGCTCTTGGAGTTGTGCTTGATCTTATGACCAGTTTTCATTTGAACTCATTGGGGAATGGGGCGATTCTGCTTTTGTTTCTTGGTCAGGAATCTCTAGATCCTGAAAGTCAAGGACAGAAGACAACCACAGTCACAAGATGATGGAGAACAGAGAGTCAAACATATGACATTTTAATGAGATCCAGTATATCAATTTTCTTTCTTTCTCTTGTGGTCTTTTAGATGTGTCAGCTAACGAACAAGTCCCTAACCCTAGGTGACAAAGGTGTATCCTTATGCTTTCTTCTAGGAATTTCCTTCTCAACGACATGTTTTAGGTCTTCGTTTAAGTCTTGGCTCCATTCTGAGTCCATTTTTATATATGGTGTGAGGTAAGGGTCCGATTTATTCTTTTGCACATGGAGATCTTGTTGTCCTAGTCCCCGTCCTCCTTTCCCAACAAACCTGGACCGCAGGCGTATACGAGTCGATTCACCATAATTCTTTGTTAAAAATAGACTCTTGTAATTGGGCCACACGTGACTATTTTAGGTGTATATTCAGCAATTTTTAAAAAATCATTTTATTAGGGGCACCAATGTATACCATGACCCAACCCTAGAAATTCCTCTTCCTCTACCCAGGTGTTCCTATACAAGCTCTGATCTGAACCCTACTTAAAGTAACCAAGCGCATTCCTGAATTTAGGGGTTATCGTTCCCTTTTAAAAGTAGCTTTATTATACTGTAATTGATGGATAATAAACCGCACATGTTTAAATTGTTCAATTTCGGGAGTTTGGGCATAGGAATACGCTCCTGAAACCAAGGCAATGACTATGCCCACCTCCGCATAAAGTCTCTTTACAGCCTCTGTACCCCTCCCTCCAGCTCCCCTGACCGTCCTCTCCCCATCCTCGGACAGCCACTGCTCTGCTTTCTGCCAGTGGATCACATCGGCGTCCATTCCCCTTTCCTCTGCACTCTCTCACTCTGTATGATTGTTTTGATCTCTCAACGTGTTCTCCCATCTTTTGTCTGTATAGTTCTTTTTATCGCCAAGGAGTATCGACATGCCAAGAACTGTCTACCCATTCAGCTGTTGATGGACATTCAGGTTGCTTCCAGTTGGAGTCTTTTACAGATCCAGCTGCTGCGAACATCTGGGTACACGTCTTTACATGGACATGGCCATCTAATTCTCTTGGGTAAATGCCTAGGAGGGGAATGGCTGGGTTATACGGTAGGTATATGTTGAACCTTGTTAAGAAACCATTTCTGAAGAACTGTTTGAACAAAATCCCCACCAGCCAGTCACCCCACATCCGGTCAATACCTGGTCAATCTTTTCCATTTTAGCCTTCCAAAACGTGTGTCGTTCCCTTCTTTGGTTAAAACCATGGTTTTATGATCTTTTACATAGATGTCTAAATAGTAGACTGCTCGTCTGTTTATTGGCTGGCTTTGAACCTTTTGTAACAAGAGATGGCGCTAGCTTCCGCCAATGTGTCTTCCTGCAGGGGAAGGGTTCCTGCCACATTATGATCATGCTCATGCGCATCATTCCAGGCTCAAGACCCAGCACCAAATGCTCTCCAGTGCCATCTGTCACACGAGCACTTGGACCACCCCAGCCACACTGACGAGAGCAGCTTCCGCTCTCAGGGTCCCACAGTTGGGCACAGTCTTCCCTGCTTTCCCTTTATTTGGCTTCGAGGGACAGCTTCCTGCCAGGTGTGGTTGCTGTGAGGTGTCATTGAGTCCATACACCAGAACGAAACACTCCCTGGTCCTGCGCATCCTCAAAGCAGCGTCTATCAGTCCATCTCATGGAGAGAATTCCTCTCTTGTGTTGCCCTTCGACTTTACCAAGGATGAGGTCCTTCTCCAGGGACTGGTCTTCTCCTGACACCATGTCCAAAGTACGTGAGATGAAAACTCGCTATCCTCGCCTCCAAAGAGCATTCTGGCTGTACTTCTTCCAAGAGAGGTTGGTTTGTCCTTTTGGCAGTTGACTGATGGCTACATCTCAAGATTCTACACCAGCGCCACAACTCAAATGCTTCTTCTTCAGCCTTCCTTGTTGATTCTTCTCCGGCCTTCCGTATGCAGTGTCCAACTTTCACGTGCGTATGAGACCCATGGACAGCACCATGGCTTGGGTCAGGCACACCTTAGTCCTCCAAGTCACAGCCTTGCTTTGCAGCACTCTGACGAGGTCTTGGGCAGCAGATTGACCCACGGTATTGCACCTTCTGATCTCTTGACTGCTGCTTCCATGAGCATTGATCCAAGCAAGACCAAATCCTTGACAACTTCAATCTGTTCTCCATTTATTATGATGGTACCTATGGGTCCAGTTGTGAGGAGCTGGGTCTTCTTTACATTGCGTCGTCATCCACACTGAAGGTTGCAACCCTTGATCGTCCTCAGCCAGTGTTTCAAATGCTTCCCACCAGGTACTTAGCTTCAACCCAGGACAACTTTCGTTCACTCCTCCAACTCTCCCATCCCTGAAGGCTCCTTCTTGTCCCCAAATCCTTCCTGTGCCATTCTGCTAACATTTACAAGCAAGTTACTGGGCTCTGGGTTGTTCTGGGGCTGGATCCAGAGCTGAGCAATGCCTCAGCCCTCTGGAGCTCCAGAGCCAACACCAGCAGTTCCTTCAAGCTTGTGGGTCCTCCATCACCCTCCCTCAACCGGTGTCCCCATCCTGGCCCAGAGCAGATGCCTCCCCTGAAACGTTTCCCCTTGCTGCAGGCTGAGAAGCCCCCGTACATCCGGAGGCCTTGACCTTGCTGGGTGCTCTTGGATGGCTCTCTGTCTTCCCCATGTGTGGTCTGCCTTTCTTTGTTTGACAGTGGCGGTCCTCCATGACCTTTTCCATTGTCATTCCACTTCAACTTGACCTCCAGACCCCACAGGAGCTCTGATGAGTCCTCAGCTTATCGCATAGCTCCATCCCTCTCCTGTCTTTGCTTCAGACGTCCCTCTGCCTAGCAGACCAGTTCTGCCAATACACCCTCTTAAGGCTTGCTGAAGGACTGTGCCGCCTTTCTTGATCCAGCATATCCCGTCCCTCCTCTGAGGACAGACTTGGTTTCAAGAGACTTAGGACATGTGAAAATCCGGACACCTCCTGTCTAGACCCTCTGGGTATCCCCCTTGCTGGAAGCAGAGGATCCTGGGTATTGTCCTTGGCAGGAGTCCCTTGGCTACTCTCCTGCCTGCCTCTGGCAGTGCACTACAAGGAAGGCCACTCCCGGGACCGTCGACCATCTAGCCCTATGCTGGGTAGCTCCCTGTGTCAGCTCCTCCTTCTGCGAATCTCCAAATTCCGGCCAGTGCTCTACCTCACACAGCCCTTTGGGGCTGGCAGCCAGTCGCGAGGGTCCTGAATTCCTCTTCCCAGGTGAAACCCAGAGGGGGCAGGGACATCACTGCTGGGCGTTGTGAATGTGCTGTGTGGGCCACAGCCAGTGTTGGACAAACCCTGTCCTCCCTCACTCGGGGTGGCTGCGTTGTGGGTGTCCCAGCGTGTCTGAGGGCAGCTGTAAGAGTTGGGGGGAAGGTTAGGATGCAGCTCTGAGAGGCCCTGAAGTGGGGCCCTGGAGGCTTCTGGAGGCAGTGGCCAGGGGTGGAGGAGGGTTCACAGAGGCACAGCAGGGGCAAACTGGGTCCAGAACAGAAAGCTAGGTCAAGAACAGAGAGGGTCTGAGAGATGACTGAGACTTGTGAGTGAGTCAGACACTGGAAAGGGGGTTCAGAAAGAGGGGTTCAAAGGGGGAGGATTGTGGCTCAGGTGAGGAAAATCTTCTGAGGGGAATCGGCACTTGTGGAGGGCAAGATCGGGGTCCAAGGGAGGAGGCTGCCCTGCAGAGGTCTGGTCAGAGGTGGGGATGGGTGGAACAAGCCGCAGGAAACAGACTGCTTTTGGGAAAGTGGGGGGCAGGATGGGAATTCCGTCTCTACCTGTCAGAGGAAGCCCCTGCTGACCACCAGAGAGTGGGTGGGGTTGGGGGCTGGCCATCAGGGAAAGAGTAGTGTACTGTTGTGGGGGCGGGCGCTGGGTGGGGGGGGCTGGCTACCAGGAGATGAGTGGGGTTCCATGAGCCAGTGGGGGTGGTCTCAAGAGAGCCCAGGAACTCAGGGGCTAGGATGAGGTTTCAAGAGGGTCCCCAGCTCTATGGGAACCCAGCCCACCGCTGGTTTGAGGACGCCCCACCCCATCCCACCCCCGCACCCAGGCCCCCGAGGGTGGAGGCAGAGGGGTTAAAGGTGAGCGGGCATGAGTGGGTCCCAGGCCAGGATTGGCAGGCGCTTGGGCCCACGGCCTGGGCCAAGGCTGCGCCACCAGCCGCCAGCCGGCTGAGCAGCCGCCACCCACGTGCCAAGGAGAGAAGGAGGCACCGGGTCAAGGGGCAAAGGACGGCCGGGAAGGGGCGGGCGGGGCGTGAGCAGGGCGGCTTTCACCGCAGACCGCGGCAGAAGGCGGCCAGAGCCCTGTGTGGCCGGCGTGGGAACGGCGCCCGCCCGGAGAGCATCCCGGGCCCTGCCGCCCAGGGGAGCCCACCCACAGCGCCGAGTCCAGGTGAGCGTCGGGAAGGTGCGGGTCGGGGGATGCAGGATGGACAGGGCAGAGGCGGAGGGCACATATGCCCAGCCCACAGGCCCCTGCCTGCCAGTGGGACTAGGCAG